GCTCACCCTTCCTGCATCCACGCGCTTGGGATGGAAACTGTGAGAAATAACACCACGGGACCAGAAGTCAGGGATAAAAAAAGCACATCAGAACAAAGGAGGTATTTATGGACACGGGTTTGGGGTTATCTGCTCGTTCTGCTGTTCAAATGCCTCTGGTTCCAAGTTTATGTTCTCCTACTGATTTGTGCACTGGGCATGGGCTGTGGCACTGGTGAGGAGCCCCCTGAGCCTGGTTTCTGCTGTAGCTGTTGGTGAAGGTTGGGGACACAGCCCGGGACATGGCTCTGGCCCAGCATCACCAGTACATAGTGACAAAGCCTTAGTGCTGCCTGGAGCGGGTTTGTGCTGTCCTGTGTGCCCCCAGCTGGGCCCTGCGGCCCCTGCCCTGGAACATCTGCCTCTCATTTGGGTTAATGGGGTCTCTGATTGAAGCAGAGGCTCATTCCAAACGTAGCCTCTGCAAAGAGGCCTTTGACCCCTTCTCCTTCACACCTCTCGATTCCACAGCTCCCTCCCCATTCACAGCGGGATGGGGCCAGGTTTGGGGGTAAGTGTCTGACAGGGATCAGCGCTCACAGCAGCTCACACAAGGCACGTTGCTCCCTCCAGCCTGTCCCGCTACCGGGCTGGGGTTCCATCGGCGTCCTGCGGGCTCAGCCCCGCGGCTCCTCCTGCCCCGCTCCCTCTGGGAACGCAGCAACGCTCCCGTGCCTCCTGCAGCCAGCCCTGCCCGGTGCCAGCCGCGGGCAAACCCCTGGGCAGCTCGGAGCTGGGATTTCCCCGCACAGCCCCGAGGTGCGGGGGTGCCGCCTGCTCGCAGGCACTCGCTGCACCCCGGCATCTCCTGAGCCCGGGATTTCCCAACCCCGCCTGCACGTGTTCCCCGGCGCTGGGCATCGCCAGGGGCACACACACAGCTTCACGTGCAGGGAGGTCTCTGCCGGGGAGAACAGGAGCCCGTTTCTTCTCTGGCGCCCATCACAGTGCTGGAGAACAAACCCGTTTGGCCCCCGGTCCCGGCTGGGCTCCCGGGGAGGGACAGGCGGCAGCGGGCGCTCTTAGCTCACCACAGCAGTCACCAGCCTGAGGGCAGCCTCAGCCTCAGCATCATTGCTCTGCCCCTGCCCAGCCTTGTGCCCATCTCCAAGGCTCGGAGCAGCTCCCTCCCCGTGCCCAGGGGATGTCACTGCGGCAGAGAGGCTTCTGCTCTTGCCAGCCCTTTTCCCCCGGCCTCCTCCTCCTGCACCACCTCTGCTGCGGGCTGGGGTCCATGGGGGTCTCCTGTGGTGGGTTTTCATCACCATTGCTGAAGGTGTTTGCGTGAAGCTTTGGGATTCAATGCAACACAGAGAATGTTTTAACAGGGTTTCCATTTCTAAGCTCATTTATACCTTGAGTTCATTCCTTTGGGGAATGGGCTGTGTCTGGGCTCCAGCAGGAAGGGCACGGCTGCTCCTAAAGGCTCCTTCAGACACAGCTCCTCTGTGCTGGCAACTCGAGGTGCTCTCCATCGCAGCACCGGCAGTGCCTGGATCCCAGTGTCCTCGCACCAGCCCCAAGCTGCTCCACAGCCCACCCAGCACCAGGACGAGCATTTCCATCCAGGCAACACCCTGGAGTGCTGCTGGCTGTGCATGGAATTCCAATGGGATGTGAACGGCACCCCCAGCTCTCCAGGGCTTTGTGAATGCAGAGTGGAGCTCACAAGTCTGTCACAGCAGCTGCTGCTCTGGGGCCTGTGCCTTTCCCTCCTCCCTTGCGAGCAATTTGCTCCTGTACTGACAGCCAGCTATTGACTTCTTGTTCTCCTGGAGATGAGCTGTCCTGTCTCATCAGCTTTAAATTAGCTTTATCTTTAGCCTTTGCTATTAATAAGCTCTCACCATGGTGTCATTACTTGATATCTATTTTCTGATGCTTTTCATTAATGGCTCCGTATCTTCCAGATATTTTTATTCCAGTCTTTTCCCCTCCTGCCTGAGTTATTGCAGAGTCACCCGGGGCTCCGTGAGGGGAGGGTGGCCAGTGCTGGGAGCTGAGGTGACACTGGGGTGTCTCTGCTCCCCTCTAATCCCAGCCTGAGCTCTGCCACCCTGGTGCTCTCGCGAGCCAATAGAGTAATCCAGATGCCTCCATGAGGCAGAGGTGGTGCAATCCATGGGGACAGCAGGGTTGGGCTGGAAAACCAGGATGATTCTCTGAGACTCCCTTTTCACAGGTGTCCCATGGCACAGACGGGCAGTGATGGGCACAAGTCGCTCCTGAGTGGGGGGGGTCTGACTGAACACAAGGGGACAGGTTTTCCCAATGAAAACAATCAGCATTGGAATAAGCTGGAGTTACTGGGTTCCCCAGTGTTGGACACTGTTAAGGTTTGGCTGGACAGGATGCTGGGATGTTCTCACCCCTCTTAGCAGAACTTTCCCTAGGAAACTGGAAGTGAATGGGAATTATCTCCCATTATTTCAAGGGGCCATGCCTGGGGTTTCTGTTCTGCTGGAGGCACCTTCCAAGCAGTCAGGGAGCTGGCTTCAGGGACTGTCTCACTGAACCTTCAGTGGTAGCAAAGCAAATACCCAAATCTCCTCCGTCTCTTTCCTAAGACCAGGAAAATGCATCCCTGGGCTTCCAGGAGCCCTGGTTTGGCAGCGGCCGGGCGTGGGGCGGCACCGCGACAGAGCCATCGGCTGAGGGATGCTCACCACAGCCCGCGGCAAGGAGCAGCCGGAGCGGGGGCTCCTCCTCCCGTCAGCCCCGATGCAGGGGGCTGAGCCTGAGCAAGCGGCTCCATCCCCTCTGCGTTGTTCCGGCTGCTTTTAACCTGCTTTTAACATCATCTTCTTGTTACTCGGTCTCAGGAAGTCTCGGGAAGGCCGGGGGCAGCTTGGGAGCTGTCAGACCCGAGCGGGTGTTTCACAGGACAGTTCCCTTTGAGACAGGGACCGTGCTGACGTTGGAGGTAAAGATTCTGCTCAGGGTTTCCTCATTTAACTCCATCTTTAACAGCTGCTGATGGGAAAACCTCCCCCACCCGTGCTCAGCAGGGAGCCCAGCACAGCCCTACTGGGAGCAATGGTACCCTAATGGGCCCAGCATCCGCAGTGCCCGGCTGCAAGCACCGAGCTCTCATCCATCTTCCAGGGCTCTTTGTGCCCTTGTTGGGTGGGAGAGCGTGGGAGATGCTCAGAGCTGGGCTGGGTGCTCTTGTACAACAAAGCACCTTACGAAAGAGGCACCGGATCGAGCCCAGTGAAAGCCGAGGCTGTTGTTTGCCTTCAGGGCTTTGGTTTTGCATGGACAGGGGCCAAAGCAAACCCCCGCCCACCGGCCCAGACCTCACGTTTCATCACTGCGTTTAGAAGCTGGTTTTCTGGTGGGCATTTGAGCCCTTCAGCCTCCTGACCACGGGGAAATGGTGAGAAGCTGCTGCTTTGTGACGAATAAAACCCTGCAGCTTTTGCCCCGCACAGATAACTCTGTGGGGACCCTGAGCTGAAATACCTGAGCTGTGGTTCAGCTCCAAAGGCGCTCATCACTGCTCCTGTCGAGCCCTTGCTCCCCTGTGCTGGTGCTGCCCAGCACGGGGCCGGTTTCACACAGATCCCACTCCTGTCAAAGCCAGCTGAGGAGTGGAGCCCCAGAGTGGGGCTGGTGTCGGCTGCAGGGGCACCCCCATGGCCCCGCAGCTGGTGGCAAAGTCGAGTGTGAATGTGGGGTGAGCAGTGGGTCGGGAGCAGGGGAGATGCTGCCTGGAAACCTGGCTCCCGGGACCCCCTCTGTGCCCATGGGATGGGCAGGAGCAGAGGGACCGGTGACGGGCAGAGGCAGAGGAGGGTGCTGGTGCTTCGCAGTGGAGCCACCATGGCACTGGGAAGGGGCTGATGCCACGCGGTGCCGTGTGGCACCCCCGGGGTCCTGGTCCCAGCCCCAGTCCGGGGGATGAGCCCCAGCGGGGCACAAGGGACGTGTTTGTTCATGTCCAACAGCTCCCGGCTCGCTGGCAGCACGCGGGGAGCAGGAGCAGAGAACAAAAGAACCAGAGGCTGAGGGAAAAGGGCAGCATAAATCTGCATAAATACAAATGAGGGGAGCAGTTACGGCTCCCATGGACCACGGCCGTGTGCCCTTAGCCGGGAGAGGGTCGGCAGGGCTTGGCCTGGCCGTGGCTCCCCACCTTGCCAGCAGATGTACCTGTCCAGTGCTCTTTGCTGTGAGTCACTGCTGGGCTGATGGGGAGACAAACAGCAAAGCCCCGGCAAACACAGAACCCCTGTGGCAGGTTGGAAAGGAACCAAGCCACGTGCGGAATGCAGATGAAGAAAACCCTTTTATTGCAAGCAGTAACAGGAGGGACGTGAATCCGCCTCCCCCACCACGCGCGACCCCCAGCCCCGCTTGCGGATCACAAGACGGGATAGCGTTTCCTCTGATCACTGGAAGCACAGCTGTGTGGGAACGCATCAGCCACGTACCGCCTGGATTAGGCCTTTTTCTGCCTTCTTTTTAACAGGATGAAATCGCTGGAAGCAGCAGCATTTCCTTTTGAAATGGTAAACCCGTCACGGAGCAGAAGGAGAGCAAAGACAAAGCCTCCACAGGCCGCTGGTGCTTGTCCCTTTTCTCTCCCTTCACAGGGATTTGGGGCAAACTCACAGGGCTCCCATGGGGCAGCCGCAGGGGATGACATCCCCACTGCCAGCCAGGGGGGTCTTGGTCCAGCACCAGGAAGGGCTCCTCTGTGCCGAGCAATTCCCAGCCCAAACCACAGCCCAGGGCCAGGCAGAACATGGGGTGCTTGAGGAGGGGCTGGGGTCGGGCTGTACCTTCGTTAGTGGGTGCCCTAATGAGTGGCTTGTGGCTGTGACACCGGGAGTGAATGTGGGCATGGCCTGAGGCTGCTGCCCTGGATCCAGCGGGAGCAGTGCATTGGCACACCTAAGCAGCAGCAAAGATAACTCTTGGCACTGCTAACCCTGGGGTGGACCGAGACTCCAGTGATCAGTCTGAAACGTAACGCAGAAGCAGCAGGGAGTTTTCTTGGGTGGGTTTCTCTATTTTCATGTCTGTTCTCCATGTATCCAGCAATCTTCCTCCCTCCTCCTCCTCCTCACGGTGGAGCAGTGGGAATGGCCGTGGGGTACCTGTGGGGATGCTGGAGCTGAGGTTTTGGCCAGTGCAGGAGCCTGGAGCAGCAGCTCCGTGCTCCCCATCAGTGCAGGCTCAGCTCTGGAGGGTTCGGCTCAGCCAGCCCCGGCACCAGCACCAGCACCGAGGCTCTGAGCCAGGTCCCAGCAAACCATCCTTACCCCACAGCGCTGCTGGCCCCATGGCTACGGAGTGCCCCCGAGGTTGATGCCTGTGACTGGGGAGAGGGACCCAGGTCAGTGCCCCTGGCCCCCCCCAGCCCCACAGCTCACATCTGTGGGGCCGGCTCCCGACACAGCAATGGCTGAGATCCCTCAGCTGCAGCGGCAGAGCTGATTTAGTGCCCTGAGGAGCACGGCTCGGGGGAAGCTGGGACCGCGGCCAGCTCTTCCTTCCCTCCTCTATATATTAACTTTGCATGCATATGAGGCTGGAAGCTCTTCCAATCACCTCTGCAAATACTAATTAACCCTCGCAGCATCCCGAGGACCATTATTCACTCCTATTAAGTAAATATTATTAAATCCTCTTATGAGAGGTGAACGACTTTTCCAGGGCTGTGCAGGGCCCGTGTAGGGGAACACAGACTTTGTCTCACACCCGCACACCCGGAGGCACCAAGGGCCTGAGCCGGGGGATGCCTCTGAGGACTGCGGACCAGGAACCACCCCCAGCACCGCTGTGTGGGGTGGAAGCGCTCTGTGGGCCCTTCCTGAGATGCGTCAGCACCCTGAAGCTTCGGCTGCACCCCGGGGCCGTGGGGACCCGCTCTTGGCCGCTGCCTGCACCAGGGCTGCATCGCCCCGAGCATCCCCACAGCCTGGGCTGCTGCCTGTCTGGCCCACAGTGGGGATCCCGTTGTGCCTGGACTTACTGCGCAGGAGCCAGTCGATGAAGGCGCTTGGGAATGGGTAGTTCTGCGCAAGCAAGGAGAGAGGAAGGTGTGAGAGGGGAGGGAGAGGGAGGGCGGGGGGGCCGGGGTGGACACAGCCGTACCTGCAGGTCCAGCTCCATGTAGTGCCCGCTCGACACCGGCAAACTGGAAAGGGCCGAGTGGATTTTCCCCAGGAGCCCAAAGGAGACGACGCCTGAGGAGAGGTCAATGGGGCTGGGCAGAGCCGGCTGCTCACCAGGACCTGCTGGGTGCTCTGCCCGTGCTGGTGCATGGAGCCAGAGGCTGGGGAGCTCAGTCCTGCCTGGCCACGGCCCCAGCACACAACCACGGGATGGTTTGGGTTGGGAGGGACCTTAAAGCTCCTCCAGCTCCAAGCCCTGCCGCGGGCAGGGACACCTTGGAGCAGGGTGCTCCAAGCCCCTGTGTCCCACCTGGCCTTGGGCACTGGAGGACAGCAGGGCCAGGGTGGTTTTGCCACGTCAGGCACCAGGGATGAGCCAGGACTGTGCCCCCCCCCCAGCAGCTTTGCCAAGCAAAGCAACCCCTTCTCCAGTGGGTCCGGCTCTCCTGAGCCCCCCAGGGCCTGTGGAGGTGACTGGAGAGAGAGCTCAAGTGTTCCTCTAAAAGTTAATGTAGAAAAGGCAATTTGACGACTTACGGTTGAGGAATTGAAGCTTAATGTTGATGATGCTGACCCAGATGTTCACCAGCGGGCAGAGCTGCAAAGGAACAAGTGGCTCAGCCTTGGTGAGGACACCATGGGTGTAGCAATGTGCTTCCTACCACTGCGTGGGGTTCACAGGTTTAACTCGAGATGGAACAATCGGCTCCTCACAGGCCCCCCCATGGATAAAGCAACATCAGTTGTTGAGCCCTCTCTGCTCGGGGCACGGATTCCATTGAACAGAATAAAGGGTTCGCTCAGAAACCCCTTTCCTCTGGGGCTGCCAGCCCTGCTCAGCGCCTCGGCACCGGCCTTTCACAGAGCCGTCGGGTGCAGATTACCCCGTCCCACCGAGCGATGCCGTTTGAATTGCTCCTAACAACTAACTCCGGGCTGTAAGAAAGGTCAGGGGAGTCTGGGAATTCACTCACGGGATGTGGCTGTGTGCACATGTATGTGTAGAGAGTGTGTGTGAGTAACTGCTGCACAGCTGTGGCGAGAGCTGCAGTAAGTGCAGGGCTTTGAGGCACTCACCAGCGCGGGTATGAGGGACCGGAGGGAGCTGTTCAGCAGATTGCTCACCATGTTGGTGAAAAACCTGCCGAGGGAGGGAAGCACAGAAATCCCTGGGGGAGGTCTCAGAGCCAGGCCTTGGCATCCAGACAAACCCCAGCTCTGCCCCCTGAGCCCGGGACGGGAGCACCAGCACCCGTTGTCTGCTCCTGCCGCTGTGTTTAAAGATGCCGCAAGCCCACAGCTCCCCCGGGCTTCAGCAGGAATTACTGATGCTGCGGATTTTGCTCCCTGGTTCCCAAATCTGGTTGCTGAGGAGGAAATCTGTGCCCAGCTTTGAGGCTGAAATTCTGCCCCGCTGCAGACTTGCAAAGAGCTGCGAGTCCTGCCTCTTGTTTTAACCACTTCCGAGCGCATGCATTGCTCCACATAGATCAATGGCGATGTCGTAGAATAGTCACAGAACCAGAGTGGTTTGGGTTGAAGGGACCTTAAAGCTCCTCCAGCGCCAACCCCTGCCACGGGCAGGGACCCCTTGCTCCAAGCCCCATCCAACCCGGCCGTGGATGAGCCCCAGGTAGGCACAGCGGGGCTGGGCTGGGCTCCCGAGTGATGGCTCCATCCCTGCTAAACCCCCTCAGCGCCCACGCTCACCCCCTCCGCAGGTTGACTTTGAAGCCCACAAGCAGGTTGCTGCAATCCTTAGACACCAGCTTGAGGTCCCCGGGGGTGTCCTGGGTCAGCGCCATGTGGGACGTGATGTTTGTCTCCACCGAGGAGCCGCTCAGAAACTGAAAAATCCTGGGGGACAGGGAAGCACCTCGGGAACCGGAGCTGCCCCTGGCTGAGCCGGAGCTGCCCGTGGCTGAGCCGGAGCTGCCCGTGGCTGAACCGGAGCTGCCCCTGGCTGTGCCGGAGCTGCCCCTGGCTGAGCCGGAGCTGCCCCTGGCTGAACCGGAGCTGCCCGTGGCTGAGCCGGAGCTGCCCCTGGCTGAACCGGAGCTGCCCCTGGCTGAACCGGAGCTGCCCCTGGCTGAGCCGGAGCTGCCCCTGGCTGAACCGGAGCTGCCCCTGGCTGTGCCAGGGCCACTGGAGTCGGCTTGGCCGGGGCGATGCTTTAGTGCCACCAGCGCCTGGGGATGCTCCCCCAGCACCCAGGAACGTGCCATCCTCCCCCCGGCCCCGCTCCGCCGCCTCCCCCAGCCCTGCTCACCCTGGCAAGCGCAGCACCAGCTTCGAGTACAGGCTCAGCACAAACTCGCTGCCGCGAACGACCCTGCAGGACACTCGCACGTTCTCGAGGTTCAGCACCTTCAGCCTGGGCCGACACCAAAGCAAACCCACCTTGGGACGGCAGGGTCAGCAGGAGCAGCCCCCGCAGCCCCATCTCCTCCTCTTCACTGCATGACCTGCTACCTATGGGGGTATTCCCAGTGAAAAGTGATGGTGGGGAAGGGACAACTTCAAAGCAGGGTCAGTTTGCTCAGGGCTGCACCCCCAGCTCCCGGGGTGCCCATCACAGTGTCGCATCACTCCCATAGGGAAGACTTTTCCCATCTTTGGTTGGAATTTCCCTATCTCAGCTCCTCACATGAGCCCGGGACTGGTGGTTGATGTAAGAGGGAAGAGTTGGCTCCTGAGCATCCCCTTAGGGGAACCCATCCTCTGGACTGATCCATTACCCTGCAGTGAGCACCACCCCTGTGCTTCGGTGCCCACTTACCAGGAGAAGTGTGTTGGTGTGCCAGGGACTCCACCGCCCAGCAGTCCTCCTGCACCCAGCACGCCATCGAGACCAAGGAGACTTCCATTGCCCAGGAGACCTCCTTTTCCAAGCAGCTCTGTGCCAAGCAAACCTTTCTGTCCAAGAAGGCTCGCATTGCCAAGGAGGGCACTGCCGAGACCATTGCCAAGGCCTTCTCCACCAAGGACGCCAGTGCCAAGGAGCCCGTCTCCACCAAGGACGCCAGTGCCAAGGAGCCCGTCTCCACCAAGGACGCCAGTGCCGAGCAGACCGCTGCTGCCAGGTTGTCCTCCTGTAACAGTCACATCTCCATTACTGTCCTGGCTTTCACCGCCCAGCAGCCTCCTCTCCCACGCACACCCATGCCATGTGGACCTTCCTCACCTAGGAGGCCTGTCCCGAGGATCCCAGAGCTGCTGGACTCTTTTCCTGCATCACTGGAACCTCCGCTACCTTTTCCACTCGGACTTCCCGTGCTAAGGATGCCGGTACCGAGGAGCCCATCCTCACCAAAGAGGCCTGTGCCAAGCAAGCCACTTTTTTGGTTGAGGAGACCTTCGCTGCCAAGACCGGTTCCAAGCAGACCTGCACACGAAAGTCCCAGTTACCCCCCAGACTTCCCACCTGTGCCAGGATGCTCCCATGGGACACACGGAGCACCGCGGAGCTCACCGTCTTTGGATTGCGCTGGGCTCAGCCCAAGGACACTGCCCAGGTTGAGGAGGCCCTGGGAGGGGGGCAGGAGGCCTGTGGCAAGGACGAGACACCAGAAGCGCAGCATCTTCTGACCCAGCACCTGTGGAGAAACCCACATCAGCTCAAGCATCAGCCCCACCCCATAGGAATGGGCAGCCTGGGCACCGATCCGGCTCTCCATCCTTCACGTGCGCTGCTCCCAGGCAGTGGGGCAGGTCCCCCCTGGACATGGAGCCCCCAGGGGCCAGCCCAGACCCACAGCACCCTTTTCCCACCCGGAAAGGTCAAACTGCTCCTGGTTATCAGGCAGCCACTGAAGCACAGCGCCGAGCTGCTCTGCATTGTGCATGCCCGTGGGCTACCCCTCTGCGGAGCTGGTGCCTGACATTGCAGGGAAGCTTGCAGGGAGAAAATGCCATTTCAAGAGAGCTCGAGGACGGAGATGAGGCAGGAGGACCTTGCAGGGAGAGATGGATGGCTTCCCACCGCTCCGAAGTGACCCTGGAAGAGGAGCACTCACAGGGACGCAGCCGGATGAAAAACGGTGAGTGTCAAAGCCGCGTCCTTCTCCCTGCTATGAAGAACACTGTTATTAAAGCCCGCGGCACAGCCAGACCACACTCCCTTTGCCATGGGCAGGTTGTTTGCTCTTCTCATGGCGCTCCATTCAGGCTATGAAAAGAGCCCATTTTCCCTGAATTTGATTTGCCTCTATTCAAAAGAAAGCACCTTCAAGGACCTTGCGTTCCTGGGCACCTTGGGGTTGCAATCACCACTGTGGAGTGCTTGTTTAGGCACAGAAAGGTGCTTCAAATAAGTGAGAACAGGAAACCAGGGAAGCGCTGCCGTGGGTCCCCGTTTCAGGAATGCCCACCTGCAGCACCCATGTCCCAGGCCTCGTCCCAGCTTTCCCTTCTGAGGAAAGGATTGCAGAGCCTCAGCACCAAGCAGCGTCACTATTGAGGTCAGACTGAACACCTGCGCTATCAGTTCCAGGTGCTCTGAAAACAATCCCTCCATGACAGTTCTTGGCACAATCAAATTAGACTTTAATTCACTGGCCTGTCTTTGAGATTTTCCCTTTGATCAGAGCGCAGCGATGCACAGCTCCTGGAGCTGGGATTATTGAACAGGAGAGGAGGAGGGAGGCTCAGGCAGCTCCTATTGAAAACCGTGTCAAATAAAATCAGGGGGATTTGTTGGAGGGTCTCTGCAAGACGTGTGCAGCATTGCAAGAGGCTCCCCCAAAGGCTCTCAGGTCTTGCAGAAGAGCTCTTAGAACGCAACTGCCGCCGCAGTTATTAACGTTATCTATCAGGTTGCTGTCTCCTTGGTCACACACGTTTAGGCTGAACATCTTGCACATGCAAAATTCATGTATGGCTCTGCAGATGAAGGCTTTACAGCAGCTCAGATGAGACCTGATAAGCTGAAAATGGCTCTGAATTCTGGTCACCGAGAGCATGAAGCAACCAACCCCCAGTCACTTCTGCTGGCTCAGTGGTAACGTAACAACAAAAATAAACATGGAATTTGACAAGCAAGAGCTCTGCTGGCTTTAAAAATTAATTCTCATCCATTATTAAATGCTGCTACAGAAGTCAAAGAAAACATCATTAAAATTCCTGCTTTTAAAGCCGCGTCACACTTCGCTGCAGGTCACCCAACGGGAGCAGCTGCTCCGTGGCCACTGTGCCGCAGCACCGCTTACCTGGAGCCCTTTGCTGCAGTGGTGCTGCTGCCGTGGCCGCTCTGCGGGGCTGGCTGGCAGGAGCAGCCTTATATAGCCGAGCTGCAGGAACCAGGAAGGTCCAGGGAAGGATGAAGCGGGATAGTTCCTCCTCGCTGGCTGTGAAGTGTGAACCCTGCACCAGCCTGACCCCGCACGCTGCACGTAGCCGTGCTGGGCCCTGGCCAGCAGCTCAGCCTGGATGCGGTGCCCACCGGCTCTCCTCCTGCCGGACACGCTGCATCCCGCTCCCCGGGCTTCTCCTCCTGCCCCTGGGACCAGGGCAGCAGCACCGGGGGTGAGGGTGCAGCAATGCACCCCTGGGTGCTGGTGCAGGAGCCCGTGTCCTCAGGCAGGGGATGCTCTGGTCAGGCTCCATCCCACCCAGCGCCATGCTGCTCCTTGCACATGGTCCAGAGAAGCTGGACATGGCCATGGCCAGCACAGGCTTTTGCTGCTCATGGCTACTCAGTGTCTCTCTTGCTTTGCTCTCCCAAAGTGAAGCAGAAAGATGCTGATCAAGGTGGAAATCTGTGATTCCTCCTTCTCCCCCCTCTTCTTTCTGCATGCAGACCCCTGAGCACCCTTAGAGCATCACGGTTACTCTGAGCCACCTCAGAACCCTGGGGTGCAGGGGGATGCCACGAGGAGCTGGGGATGCTCTTATCTCTTTGGCTAAAGAGAGGGTCTCAGAAATGGCGCCATCATATTCACCAGGGACAGTGAGAGGTGAGCATTACCTGCCAGTGAGTTAATTCCATACAGAAACAGCACGAGGCAGATTAAAATGAAAAGTTGTCACAAACTAGGAGTGTGTGGATCTAGGGCATAGCAGCTGTGCTGTGAAACCTGCCTGTCACGCAGAGGAGAGCAGGAGATGGGCTGTGCCTCCAAGAAAAATCTCAACAGTTTAAAGAGGCTTGAGAAACAGCAAATAAAAGAAAATGGGGAAATGAATATAGAGAGAAAGGGAAGAAAAGCATGAAAGATGACAGGAAAAACCTGTTTCCAGGTGGTTTTCAGGGTGGATCTTGGCTGGACAGGGCAGGACAGACTCTAAGGCAGCAATATGACATCTGACCCAGCTATTCCTCTTTCCCCCAGAGCAACAGGCAGCTTTAGAGCCTTAGAGAAGGCTTCATTGCTCCAACAGAGCAGGGAAGAGCCTGGCCATAAATAAACTGGGGGCCATCCTGAGCCCCGGGGTTCACTGGAACACACACACACACACACACACACACACACACAGGCTGGAGCACCCGTGGTGGCTGCAGAAGGGGATGGACTTTGTTAAACCCAAGCATGAGAACACAAAATACCCCCGATCCTTCTGAGCGTCCACAGAGGAGTCAAAACAACGTTCAGAGCCAAACCCCACCGCGGTCCAGGTGCCAGCAATGCAGGTGGGACGCAGTGTTTGCATGGAGGAGACCAAGTTACTGCATTGGGTACGAAGAGCAATGCGGCAGGGACTCCCTGGGCAGGCTGAGTCCCATCACCCCGGGGGCAGAGAGGGAAACCCAGGGCTCCCTTGGCAGCCCAGTGTCCCCGGCTCACACTGACAGCAAGAGATCCTGGGGAAGCAAAGGGGTTTGGTTTCCTCTGGAATCCTCTGTGCAGAGCCCCGGAGCGGGGCTGCCATCGGGGCGCGTCTGAAGCACTTCAATGACATCGATGTCGATGTTCAGCAGCCTGGGGAGGGGAACCCCCTCTGCCAGCACCTCTGTGGGGCACAGCCCAGCTCAGTGCCAGGCAGGGCTCGCTGCCAAACCTCAGTCCCCAGCTCCATCCTCTCAGCGTGCAACCCCCCCCTCCGCAGGGTTCTCCAGAAGGGCTTTTGTGCCACGGAACTTGGCAAAGCATCCTGGCAAAGCATCCTGCCATTGCTGCTGCCCTGAAGCATCCTGCCATTGCTGCTGTCCCCAAAGCATCCTGCCATTGCTGCTGCCCCCAAGCATCCTGCCATTGCTGCTGCCCCGAAGCATCCTGCCATTGCTGCTGCCCCGAAGCATCCTGCCATTGCTGCTGCCCTGAAGCATCCTGCCATTGCTGCTGCCCCGAAGCATCCTGCCATTGCTGCTGTCCCCGAAGCATCCTGCCATTGCTGCTGCCCTGAAGCATCCTGCCATTGCTGCTGCCCTGAAGCATCCTGCCATTGCTGCTGTCCCCGAAGCATCCTGCCATTGCTGCTGCCCTGAAGCATCCTGCCATTGCTGCTGTCCCCGAAGCATCCTGCCATTGCTGCTGCCCCCAAGCATCCTGCCATTGCTGCTGCCCCCAAGCATCCTGCCATTGCTGCTGCCCCCAAGCATCCTGCCATTGCTGCTGCCCCGAAGCATCCTGCCATTGCTGCTGCCCTGAAGCATCTTGCCATTGCTGCTGCCCTGAAGCATCCTGCCATTGCTGCTGCCCTGAAGCATCCTGCCATTGCTGCTGCCCTGAAGCATCCTGTCATTGCTGCTGTCCTGAAGCATCCTGCCATTGCTGCTGCCCCGAAGCATCCTGCCATTGCTGCTGTCCTGAAGCATCCTGCCATTGCTGCTGCCCCGAAGCATCCTGCCATTGCTGCTGCTGCCAGCGAAGCAACCAGGGAGGCTGCTCAGGGTGTGAGGTTTCACCTCCCAGCAAAGCCCTCCCACCCCACCCAAGCCCCTCAGTGCAGGTCCCGCTGGCTCCTGCTCCATGCAGTGGGGTGAAGCTCACTGCAGACACTGATGGCACACCCAGCACGGGGAGCGGGCAGGTTCTCACCGTTCACTGCAGGCACGAGGGCAACATCGAGAACCTGCCCAATGAGCGTGTCCAGGAGGGAGACCTGCAGCAGGGAGAGGGGTCCCTCAGTGCCACCGCTGGTCCTGAGGCCTCACCCTGTCCTGCAGGAGCCAGCCCTGGAAACCAAACGTGCTCTATCCGCAGGTATCCTGCACAGGAGAGCCCAGGGTCCCCTGACTTCTCCCATTGTCCCCTACGAGGCACAGGGATGAGCATCCCTGGGCACATCCCAAGGGGACACTGAGGACATGTGTGGGATGTCCTCTGTTCACCATGGAGCCAGGGCCTCACAGTGAGGATCTGCCTGAGAACCACTCATGGATCAGCCATGCAAAAAGTCCACGTCCAGAGGTGACAGGAAGGTGCTGTTCAAAACAGACCACAGCCATTACCTGCTCTCAGTTCTCCTGAGCCAGTGTCCACCAGCGCTTTCCTTTCTGCAGGGGGTTTTGTGTGCTGCTGAGGCTGCTCCTGTTCCTATGTCAAAGCCACCGACGGACGAGGACACCAAGGAGAGATCGGCCCTGCGGGAGGAACCAGAGGTGAGTAAAACTCAAGCACTTCCTCTGATGGCCCAGTCCTGCTGCTGCCCCCGTCGCTGCAGAGCCATGGCCACGGCCGCCCCGCAGTGCCCTACTTCAGTTTAATGTCCTCGCCTGAGAACGGGGCCAGCAAAGAGGTGTGCTGTGGTCAGAGAGGGAGCAGAGGGCAGGGGGGCTCTGCAGGACACAGCAGGTTCAAGGAGGTGCCCCGGTGGCTGCCATGGGTGGCAGCAGGGGCACGGGCACCCGTGGGGCAGTTGCTGGCTCTGCCAGCCCATGGTCCAGCCGGCCCCAGCCACGCTCCCCATGACAGCCCGGAGTTCCATGGAAAGGAAGCGGCCAGGGCATTGCAGTGTTTGCCGTCACGGCTCTTCGCGCTCCTGGAGCGTGCGATGGCTGCACGCATGACCCCGAGCCAGCCCCGCGGCGCTCCCTTCGCCGGGCACTCGGGAAAGCGAGCCCCGCGGTGCTCTCCCATGACGGCAGCAGCGGGAGCAGGGAATGCGCTGGGATCTCCCTGGGCTCCCCGCGGCGCCCTCGGCACCCGCTGCCCGGGTGGCTCAAGGGAACCTTCCCAAACCCGATAGCCCAGCCCCGGCACACGGGGCAGAAGATGCAGCACTTGAGTGACTTACGTTCAAGCCTCCCTCGAGGAACAGGTTGGAACCAGGGGAAGGCTGGACGCGGTGTACTCGATGCTGCCCAGCACGCCCGGGGCACCAGCGCTGGTTTGCAGCGGGTGCTCAGGGCAGCTCCCTGGCCCTGGCTCCCTGCACCCTGTGCTGCAGGAGACGTCGTCTCCCTAAGGAGCAGCTGTGAACGGAGGGGCCAGCTCACAGCCCCCTGCAGTGCCCAGTTAAGCACCAAGGGGTCCTTCTGTCCGTCATTAGAGACAGGGAAAGGGGAGATGAGGGGTCCATGGGGTGAAGTGAGGGGTTTGCAGCAGCAGAGGGAAAGCCTCACAGTCCTCAGGCAGGCAGAGCAGAGGTGATGGGGACAAGGCAGGGACCCACCAGTACTCCCAGTTCACAAGACCCAGCTGTTGTTTACGAGTCCCAGGGCAATGTCAACCACCGGGCAGAGCTGCAGGGGTCGGGGGGGACAGGGGGTGACCCACAGTCAGAGCTGGACAAGGACTCACAGCCCCTTTGGCCTGGGAATGGGAGCACCAGGCACGAAGGGGGCAGCGCTCCCAGTGCTGCTGGGGCTGCACCAGCTCCGGACCTGCCCCTGGGCACCTTCACCCTTGGTCAGAGAAGCAGGGTCCCAGGGCCCATGTGGGACCGCGGCAGAGACCCTGGGGCTTTAGGAGGGAGGAGAGGTTCAATGAGCCCCTAACATGGTCCAGAGAATCCTTAGAAGCTCCCAGCAGCCGGGCAGACCTGTGCTGGGGCACTGACCTTGTCAGCGAGGGAGGGAGGGAGCAGCGACTCCCGAGCAGATGGAGACACGGCGTGTGCCTCCCTAATCCCAGCCCATGGCCGTGCTCCCATTCTGGGACTCCAGCGATGCCTCAGGAGCTGCGCTGCAGCTTTGCAGACTCATTGCTCCTCTCCAGGGTGGAAGTTTCATCCCAACGCACCAGATTAGGAAGAAGTCTGCTCAGGACACTTGCCAATAAATTATCCACAACTGGGAGCAGGCTGTGGAAAAATAAAGGAGCACTATGAAAAATCCTGCTGCAGAGCAAATGGCTCCCGTTAAACAACTCCCTGTGAATAGAGCGGAGCACAGACCTGCCGGAGCAAGGCAATTGCAGCAGCAAAGTGACTCGGCTTGCCTGGATTTTGCATGAGATAAGTGTAATTTGCATCCCAAAATAGCCAGTGGGAAATTTATTGCTGCCTTTTATCTGCTAGTGTAGAGTCTCCTCAAATGAGCAGAACCAGACTCAGCCCAAGTGGGTTCTATGATTTACACCCCACAGCTCCCATCTCAGCAGATGCTGTGCAGTGCCGGTTACAGTGACCCACGAGCGTGACACGTGGGACAGGAATGTCCCTCTGGGATCGCTGTGGGGTTGTGCAGCCCTTGGACAACGTGTCCATTTACATGGAGCAGGCAGGGGCCACCACCGCCA